ATATGTTATTAAATAAATAAATATATGTTAATTCACATGTGATCTATAAATAAAAAGAGTTAATTACAAAAAAATAATATCGTATTGTACAAAGTATTATTCTTTATTATTATTATTATTTTTTGGGTAGTGCACAACATACCGAAGGAATTGAAAGAAGGCTAAGGGAAAGGGGAAAGGGGAAAGGGGAAAGGGGAGGGGAGAGATAGGATTTGAAACCCAAATGTGAGGAAAAATGTACAAATAAGGATGTAAATATTGTATTTTTTATTTAAAGTATTAACTTTTTTAATTTATAAACAAAGATATTGATTTTTAACATTTTTTGTTTAAAAATATGAATTTTTAATTTTTTTGTTTAAGAATTAATTGGATAATAATATTGACATGGTAAATAAATTTTTTTTAAATATTAACATTCTTAAATAGAAAAAATTAAAAGCTAATAACATTAAATTTAAAAAATTGAAAGTTGGTATTATTATTTAGAAACTGAAAAATCTAATATTCTTAAATAAAAAATAAAAATTTTACATTTTTATTTACATATTTTCTCCAATCTGAGATCTAATAAACCTCCCAGGGACCGAGGCTTAGAAATAGGTAAATAATTAGATTTAAATGTTTTAAATTAAGAATTAAGTTTATTAAAGTTGAACGAAACGAATTACATATAGGAAAAAAAAATTTGAAGAAGTAGGTTAATAAAAAGGCATTGAAAAATTACAAGAAAAAAAAATTTCAATATCTTTAAACAAGAGGCAAAAAGAAAAGAAAAAATAAAAAGAACGGTCATCTTTAAACAATTTAAAAATTAACATCACTTAAATAACTGAAAAATACCCAATAAGGTACACTTTGATGCCCAAATTAAATGGACCAATAATTTTCATTGTTCAGCCCAATTGCTACTACCTCAACCCAACGTCTATATATATATATATATATACATACATACAAATACACATACATAGATATATTTAATCTTCTTGGCCCTATTAAATTTTACTCTATGAATTCTATAGCTTGCCACCTTCTGATATAGTAAAGAAAATAATTTGTTTGTTTTGCATCTTTCACGCAACTACATGATTGTCACTAAGTGTATGATGAAATTATAAAAGAAGGACAAGAGTTTTCAACATGTTACATCAGAAGAAGGAACTTTCGAATGTTGAATAAAAACGCACAGGTTGAATCCTTTTAGTAAGAGCTAATTAACACTAAGTCACATTTAAAATCTAATTTTAATATGTTTGACAAATTATAGTAGTAATTTAACGTATCCTATTAGATATTTTATTCTTTGAACTTTTATTTTGAAATAATGGTTAGTTATTTCTTTTCAAACACTTGATTATAGAAAATTAGCATTCTAATGCTGATTTACTATGTATTTAAAATGAATCCTAGTCATCATAATGAACAAATTAAATACTGATCAAAATTATTAATTACGTTGCTCAAGGCATCGACCCACTCAAGCCAAGAGAAATGGTGCAAATGAGGATGTGAACTTTGTTTTTGTTTTTTTTTTTTTT